TTGAGGGGTAAGGGATCTCAATACTTTCTCCATGATTGCTTCTTCAGAAAGAGTTTCTCCACACGCCTTCATCTCATTAGTGATCAGAATCATTCTGGAGATGTATTCAGAGACTTTCTCATTATTATTCATGTTGAGATTCTCGTATTGCTTTCTCAAGTACTGAAGCTTCACCTTCTTCACTAATGCGTCACCACCATAACATCTCACCAGTGTGTCTCACGCAGCCTTTGCTGTTGTTGAATCTGCAATCTTCTCAAACACATTTACATCCACACATTGATGAATGAAGAATAATGTTTTCTGATCCTTCTTCCTTACTTCCTTCTGCACGTTTTTCTGTTCATCTGTTGCATTTGCTGCTACTGGAACATAACCATCAGTGACAAGATCTAGAACATCTTGAGCACCAAACAGTACACGCATTTGGATCATCCAACGATTCCAGTTTTTGCCATCAAATACTGGAAGTTTGGTGTTCATGTTGTCGTTTCCGTTCATCTTCTACCTTGCACAGTACACTCAAATTTCTCACACAGTGTTTCCCAACCCACAGAATTAAAATTCTGATCAGATTTTGTTCAAGATTCAACACGAATCTAAGAATCAAAATCAAACACACAAGATCTCGCGTTCACTCGTGTTTTCTAATGAATCTGAACCGGAGCTCTAGATACCAATTGTTGGTGCAAAGGTAGAATAAATGATTAATAGAGAAATATTCTATTAAGAGAATGACGGCTACACACTACTCCACAAATTGCAATGATTGTTACCCTATTTATAAGCTAATACTATGGTTACTAGAATAAGATAAAAAATACTAAAATACCCTCTAACAAATTTAGAGGCTAAGAAAATAGTACAACTAATAAATATGAATTACTTCTAATAAATTGAACTCTTTTATGTGCTCTTATTTTTACAAAATGTAGGATGCATTTCCATGTAGAAAGATGAGAATGAAGAGTTGTGTTATTCTGAGTGTAAAGTTTAAAATAGATTTAATATTTTTTTTTCTTAGGTTAATTTTGAGGTTTATTTTAGTCTTTTAACTAAAAAAAAGTTTATATTAGTTTTTAACAGACCTTTTCATTTAATTAACAATGAAAAAAATTAGAAATTCATCGTTAAATTCGTTCTTATTAGAATACAAAATTAATATGGTATCTTTAAAAGTGTGAATTGAGAGAAGGCAGTCTCTCATCTACTTTTATCGAGCTTCACATGTAAAACAGGCTATTTGGCCTGTGTCTGATTGACTTAGATTTTTCGCGGCGTCGATTGAAAAAAAAAGTAGATTTAGGCGGTTGCTCGATAGACTATAAAATTTGAAAATGTCTCTTTGCCACATTTGAAAATCATCTTTCGGATTCACCATGTTTTTTGCAATAAATTTTGCAAGTTATATCGAATATTTAACATTTTCTACCGATATTTTTATGATTTTTTCCATAAGTAATAGTATCTTAAAGTTAATTACAAACAAACCCTTTTGGTTATGGTATAGAGTGCTCGAAAAGTTAACTTTTAGAAATTGGAGTTGCTTGAGGAAAAATACTTTATCTTAAATGTTATACTATTTTCTTTTCTATGAATTTTTATTTTGCAGAAATACTTGGAATTTTTACATTGTTTTGTAGATTTATTTGTAGTTTTTCTCTACAAGTGTATCTAAAAGATAATTTTCGGATAAACTTGTTTAATCATTTCCTGAGTGAATATGGATACTATGAAATTGGATGTATCAAAAAGTTCAGAAAAGAGTATTTATGAATATTTATAGAGTTTGGAAGAAATACTTAGGATGTACTGAATTATTTGAAGCTAATAATTCATAGTTTTAGTAAGTCAATTATATTCGACAGATTGGAAGTTAGTTGTATTTGACAGAGTCGAATACAACTACAATATGTTAATAGTATTCAATATAATTGAATATAATATGTTGTTGTCTAATCGTGTTAGCATGTATTCGACATAGTCAAGTGTATTAGTTACATATAAATAGATATGTGATGATGTAAATCAACAACTTCTCTTTTGCATAACAATAACTTTTTCTCTTTTCAATATACAATCATTTTTACATTACTCTCTCTTCTTTATTCTCGAGTAATTTATTTGTTTCAACAAATTAGTATCAACGAGTCCGATTGCGATTTAATGAGTCTTTAATGGAAAGCAGTAACATAATATCAAACACAATTTGCTACAAATCTACGGGTTTTCAAAGGCAAAAACTATGAGAAGTGAGTTGCACAAATGAAGGTCATCTTTAGATTTCAAGATGTGGCTGAAATCGTTTGTGATGGAGTACTTACATTGAAAGTGAATGCAAGTGATGTTCATAAGATTGTGCATAAGAAACAAAGGAAGAACGATGGAAAAACTATTTTCTTGATCCATCAATGTGTGAATCCTAATGTGTTCAAGAAAATTATTGAAGAAGAGACGTCCAAAGAAACGTGAAACAAGTTAAAGAACTTGTATGGTGGAGATGAGAAACTGGAGAGGGTGAAGTTACTGGCGTTGAGAAAGCAAATTGAGATAATACATATGAAATAAGATGGGTTGGTTGCTGATTTCATCTTAAGATTAGTGTTATTCACCAACCAGATGAAGGTGTGAGGTGAATCAATCAATGATTCATAAAAAATCGAGAAAGTGTTGAGATCTTTAACTGCAAGCTTTGACTACATTATGATGTCGATAGAAGAGTTCAAGAACCTAAATGAGATGAAGTTATAAGAACTTCAAATTTCATTAGAGGATCATGAGATGAGATTGAAGCAAAGAAGCTTTAGAGAGAGAAAATGGATGAACAAACACTGCAATCAAAGTTCTTCAAGAAATTTGGAAAGGGAAAAGAGGAACAAAGGAGAAACAAGTTGTAGCTGAGAATTCGAGCAAGAATTAAAAGAGTCACATTGATTCCACCAAGAAATACATGATCAACAAATGTGTGAGGAAGAAAGTTAACATGAAGGAGGTGTAATGCTACAACTGTCAAGGATTAAGTCAATATGCACGAGATTGTTGGAGAAAGAAGGAATCAAGAGCAAAAGATAATGAATAATTGCAATATGCACATGCGAAAGAAAGTGAGTTTGATGATATGCTACTCATGGTCAATACTCAGTCAAATGATGAACAACCACATGTCTGGGAATAAAAACTGGTTTACCAAGTTATATAAATCGGTTAAGAAAGTGATTGACTTTGCAGATGGAAGGCATGTCACACGAGTAGAAAAGGAAACATAGTTGTGGTTAGAAGGGATGTTTAAAAGGCCAGTATTACTGATGTATTGTATGTACTTTCTATGACAAGTAATTTGATAAGCATGAGTCAATTACTTGAAAAAAGTAAAACAGGGAGTTGGAAAAAAATCAGATAAAGGTGTATGATGGCGAGGGAATGATGATCCTGAAAGTACCACTAGCAGACAATAAAACCTTCAAAATAGAGATCAACATGGTTGATCATCGATGTTTGAATTCGACAGTCAATGGACATGAGTAAAGATTGATAAAGCTACTGGATTATGCGCAATGCAAAAGAAAGTTTGAGAAATGTTAAAAATGGTGGAAATGAGGTTTCTTAGACAATTTTTTTGGTTTAGAATAACTTTATATGGGAATGAGAAAGGGAGAAGATCTAGCACAATAATATCACTCAAAACGCGTCTGAAGTTATACTTCCGTAGCTTTTACAAAGATGCGTCTCTGCACTAAAATTACCTCTCTTCGCGTTGTCCTGATAATAAAATCTAAATGCACCCATATATTTGTGCGGATAGTAATATTAGTAGAAACTCCAATGAAATTTTAAAATTCTCTTTTCTTATATAAACTTTATAGTGATATATTTGTGAATCACCTCAAATAGGGCGACACATGCCCTTCGATGGGGCATCCGTCCCATGAGGCGTCGCCTCGGGGTGTGACCTTTATGTGACACAAAAATCGCTCTGAAAGAAGACGTGGATAATATTGATTAACCAATCCGCAACTGAATATACGGACGCATGCCATGACTCTCCATAAAATAGGTAATGCGTGAGTTGATCCTCTTTCACCACCGTAAACACCACTAAACAGGGTCACTCGCCGCCACGAGCAAACTCATTTATAAAATCACTAAGGCCTTTGATAATTCCTACTAGTTTAGGGGTACCATATACTCCTGTACCTTTTGATAACTACAACCTCTAAAACCTTAGAGACTTTTAGGCCCAACCGACCCAGCTAATTCACACTCTTTCAAACCCTATAGCGGGAGCATTGTTTATGCAATCATTCGTAGACATGGCAACGGAGCAGGTCAGTGATGATTTTTACCTCTTCAAATCCAAATTAGAAGCCCCAAACAATTCTCGTTCCCCGCTCTAAACCTCAACGAGTATGAAAATTAAAATCCAAATTCGTCCCAAACAAGATTGGGTAGCCTCAAAGTGAGTTTTCTCTATCAACTTCAAAATAAGTTCGTGTTGGTATCCGCGGGTCTGGGTTATGCCTAATCATTAGTAATACTATTGCTAAACAAGAGCAACCCCTAATACCACTTTCTCTATGAAGCACAAAAGCGTCTTTCTCTATAAAGCACAAAAGCGTCTTCCAACATATATACACACAATATATAATCCAATGTGAACCTACCTTCTGGATACTATAAGCAGCCACAAGCGCCACAAGCAAATATCTAAATTTCAAAGATATATCATGTACAAATGAAAGGAAAAAAATAAATTCAGTTCTTTCAACTCAAAACCATGTCCTACCTGCATTCACAACCATTTTAAGCTTTACAGAGATTAATCATCATCGTCATCATCATCACTAACATACATACAATCTACTGTTTCAACAACAAACAAGTTAGCTTGATCTAAGCATCTAGTCTAGACACAAATACAAAGACCAACAAAGTGTTGATGGCGGAAACTGATAATTCCATAGGGTGGAAATTAATAACGCTAGCATTGCTCCCTAGGGATATTAATAAGAATCATCCTCCATGTTTAAATAATCTTCTATAGAAGTTGTTAACAATTTTTCTTCACTCGTACTCGCAAGTTCAGCCTGCAGAAAAGTTGCCAAGTTATACATTGTAACACAAAGCAATGACACTCTAAACTCAAAATGGTTTATATAGATCTGCATGGCAAACAATCGGATACTAAAGAATAAAGGTTCTTAGAATTTAGGTTGAACTTAGCCATACAAAACCGACTATTAAGGAGAGTATTGAGGTGAGGATCGTTCTCACTTATAAATATATTTTCAGGCCAGATCTTAGTCGATGTAGGACTCTTAACACATTCTCTCACGCCCAACACTATTGAACTTGGTGCGTGGATATAAATGGTGGATAAACCGATAACATAAACCTTATAGCACGTAAGTTTTAACTGCCAAAATATAAATCAATATTTCATTATGCAGCTTTGAAGACTAACTTACCTTGGCTTGACGGTACTTCTCAAGCATGCGATGATATTGATCACGAGCATCGGGAGATTTGACCATGGACAGCACCCTTGAGACAGCCTCTTTGATTTCAACATCTACTTTCTGTTTTCTGAACACCTTGAGAATATCTTCATCTTCATTTTCATTAACCTCCATCTCTGGTTTGAAACCTCGTAAACCAACTCCTTTTCTACGCCATCTTAGCACAACCTTGTCCAAGATTCCAACCGCCCATAATACTCTGTAATGCTTCCTAACTTGGTAACCCCTCACATGAGCCTGCCAAAAATAAATTAGAAATAACTGAAGCATGATAATAATGCAGTTGAACCTTCACCCTCAAACTCCAACCACCAAGTTTATTTGTCATAGAATCTAGAAGAAATGTTACTTAATATATACGAATAAGAATAGTATCTCTATGGAGCTCTCATTCTTTCATTTTTTAGGGTTAAACTGTAACTGTAAAGCTAACATCAATTACCTGTATCTTCACTACTTTTTGGCGCAATGATAAGAAATCTCTGCGACCTTTCCAACCTCGATATTTTTTCTGAATTGATAATGCAGCCGAATCATGTTCACGTGAGTTCCGAAAGGCAAGTTTTGATATAGCATAAAGCTCTGGCATGTCTTCAATGCTATTTGCATTGATATCATGTCCACTCATAACACCAACTGCTTCTTTTACTCTCCGTTTTCTAAATGAATGTGAACGAAAAGCAGCTTGTATCCGTGCAGCTGCCTGAGTTGTATTTCTTACAGCAGCTAACGAATCTTTGAGCGAGGCCCGGTCCTCACTGAAAGCAATATTTTCCTTGGAGACATTACTAACAGTTAAATCCGCTTGAAGCTCCGCAGAACTTTTAGATAGCTCACTCTCTTCCAATGTAAGAGATGACAGGTGGCTTGTTACAGCTACCTCTGAAAGATACCCTGCCAGTCCTTTATGCCCACTGCTGGCTGCAATTGACGCTGCAGTTTTACCAATTGGATCTTGTGCACTAGGATCCGTCACTGCTCCAGCAGATGCACCAGAAGCTATAAGCGACGCAACCATTTTTTCCCTGTATGGAATAACAAACACTTCAGTAAAAAAAACACTTTAGAAAGGATCCGCTAAATCATGGAAGTGTCTTCTAAATAAATAAGGCTTTTATTAATTATTCTTGATACAATCATCAGTTTTGGCAGATGACTTGATGAACCAATATTTTTGTTTATTGAAATATAAAACTATGCATTTGATTTGATTGATTAGGAAACATCTAAATATTTAACGATGAATGAACGATGTTCAAATGATTTCTGATATTAGAAGTATTTTGAAGTCTTCCAAGTTCCAATACCTTCCAAAACGTGCAGCCCAGTGAAGGGCAGTCCACCCGTTGATGTCGCGGAAATTTATATTCACACCACAACTGAGAATAGGGTTCAAGGCCCACTCAAAACCCAACCCAGCAACCATGTGAATAATCCCTTGTTCTTTCTTAGACAACGAACAGCCTGTTTCTTCGTCTACTTTCCGGGATCTGCAAGTAAGCCACAGCTGTAGCTTATCCTTTAGAAGCTCTTCAAGAAGCCAATCGGCAGTACTAGAAGCAGTTCCACTGCCAAATAAAAGAGCATCTATAATATGGCTCCATGAATCATCGTCAGCTTTCTGTTTTATGAAAATTCCCGATTCATTGTTATCATCACTTACAGGTGACGCAGAAAGGAGAACCTGCCCAAATCTAACTAGTAATAACAGCTCCTCTAGAGTTCTAGTGGCTTCTATTTCCAACGGACTACATTTGGTGCAACTCTTGGTGTTATCACGATACTCGAACTCTCTTACTTCACTGCATGACTCTCGGTTTCCAGAAGTAATACACAAAGTAACATTTCCAGGAATGTGAGATGGAACTTCACAATATATTACACCATCCTGAATTATCTCAACAGGAACTTCAACATCACCAAGCATACAGGCCCAGGAAGATTCAGAGGGATGACAAAGAAAAGATCCAATAATGAAAACCTGTGCACAGCACATGGGGCTTTTGGAATCAATTCAGGAAAGTATCAATAATACAAAATCATTTAAGACAAGAAAGTTAGAGCAAAAGAGAAGTTATATGCTCTCAAATAGTTAAGCTTAAATGTCCTAAGCCACTAAGCATGAACAACCTATCCTAATCTGTTTACTTATAAATAGATTGGCTTTTATTCCAGACGGGCTGGGCACTCACATGTTCGTCTGTCCGCTTTTTTAATACTCACGCGCGTAAAATATAAATTGTATTATTATTTTTATTTAATTTTCATTTTATTATTTATTATTTATAAAATAGTAATAATAGATAATGGTGTAAAAGTTAATAAACTGTCACATAACCACCATTTATTAGAAAGAGAAGTTAAGATTTAAAATAAAAATTGAAAAGGGTATATTTGGAAGGAAAAAAGGCTACACCAAAATCATGTTTTGCCTTTATATATACGTATAGATTACATAATAACAAATCAATTTTATATATTTCCACCTTGTCCTATATAGTTTCTAAAGATCTTCAGGAACCTAGGTAAGTTATAAGCACCAAAACTATTAATCACAAGAATTTGCTCTTTCAATGTTCAGATGTTCAGAGATACTGCTAGTTATAAATCATAGTATAGAGCCTTGAAAGGCACAGACCTTTGTAGTCTCAGAGGCATAACCCCATTCTGGAGAAACTGCCTTAATAGTAAATTTCTGTTTTTGTGAAACTGTTAAGCTTGAACATGCGTCATGAGATGCTCCAATTTGGTTTTGGTCAAACAATGGTGCATAGTAGCCAGATCGAGTATCTCGTGTTTCTACCATAGAAGAATATGGAGGAAGTGTGCCTCCACCAACACCTTGAGGTAGTGAGAAAACAGCTGGTAACATGTGAGACGCATCAGAGGTGGAAGGAACTCCAAAATAAGCCAAAATAACTGTTAAATTGATAAGGTGAAAATAAATCATACAGTTTCCAGCATTATCAGTGTTGAAAGTTGTCCAGCAACAGTTTCCCTGGTTTGTAACTGGTTCTCTTATTGAACAAGATTGTGAGCTCTCTCGCTTTAAGTATCAAATTTTAATAATTGAAGAAACATGCGGAAAAAAAATATATTATTTCAACATCTGAGGAAACATTAATTGGTAAATGATACAAATTTTGTGAAATATGTTCTAGCAATACTTACATTTCCAGCTGGCAAATATTCATTTTTCCAAGATAAAGCCTTTTCATTTCCATCCGGGAAATCACGGTCTAGTAATTCACTATAGCTTTCACCACTATCACCTACAAGAATATACACTACTTTTAGCATTTTGACTCTCCTCTCTAAGTAGATGATGTTTAATTTTAAGGAAGAGGAGAAAACAAGCTCCAAACAGCTAAAATTCACTTGAAATTCAAATTTTGAAAGAATAGGTGATTTACAGCGGACAAGTAACTAACTAGCTTCAGGAGAAAATTCAAGTAAAGTCAAAACCACAATAATTTCATAAGCAAACCTTTGGCAACTAAAGTAGTGAAATGGTTCTTAGAGCAGGCTACATGACGGAAGCCTATACATGCAGTCCAATCATGCTGAATGGGCCTAAGTGAAGTTATCAGACCTATATTATATCAAGGTAAAGCTCCTTGCAAGAATCTGTAAATTACGTGATTGGGCTTATTTCGAGCCCAAATTCCGTTGTTTAAGCATGTCATGTGGCATTTTTGTATTTTCCTTCAATTTTCCGTAATCTTCGTAGTTTCCTAGTTTAATCAGAGGTTATAAAGGGAGTTGCAGGGCCTATACAGTATCAGCGAAAAAGCCCCCTTCAAGCATGTCATTGTCACAGCTGGGGCTTACCTGATATAGCCTATTTTAAGCCTAAAATTCATTGTTTAAGCATGAGTTGTGTCCTTTTATTTGTATTTTTCTTGAACTTTTTTCTTACCTTTAGTATTTTCCTCGTCTAATTTGGGTCCTAATTCGTGTAAGTTGTCATCACTCACCATCCTATAACCATGTTACATTATGTTCTTTGCGGCATCTTTTTCAATAAAACCAAGCCTTTTCTCTCAAATGTATGGCAATAATTCAAGACTTAGCCAAGTGCTTACCTTGTCTTCGTATGACTCGTCCAGCCACATGAAATGTTTCACGACATGAGCATTTAATTTATTTTACTTGTCCACCATGAAATAGGAAAAATACATTTTCATATATTATGTAACATAAGGAATTTCCTATGAAACCTTTCAAGGCCATTCTGCATTTTTATAAGTTCATATTGAGATCACTTTAGTTTCAATTGGAATAATGTGAAACACAGGAAACCTATAAGAGAGCACACACTAAAACATTGCGAACCCATATATTTCACTGATTTAAAGCATGTATACATTTTCAACAGCTCAAGTTTTTTATATTACCTTGCCTTCCATTATATCCATCATATAACAGCCCCGGACTATCTGGTCCAGAGAGAGCAGCAGATTCTTCTTGCTTGTAGATCACTCCTTGATGGTTCTGTGATTTCGAATCATGGGTAGCTTCATTCTCATTGTAGAAGGGAGCAATTTCTTCAAAGCTTTCATCATTCAAACTTAACTGCTCCTCCAATCGGCGCAAAGCTTGAGTAATCTTAAGTTCAGATGAGGTTCCTGATTCTGCTTCCGTTCCTTCTGAGTGACCCATTCCATTGTTCAAAATGAATATATCAGAGGTGACTTCTGCAGATCCAGGACTGGAGAAACTCTGATTAGGTCCACAGGAATCATCAACAATGGACGTTGAATTTCGATTCTGAGTATTATATGACCTAGGACTCTGACTGAATGCAGAAGAAGAACCCGGTGACAATTGTGTGCCAGGTCCAGAACTGACCCTTCCCTGCAACATGTGAGTGCAAACAGTAATGTGGAAACTATAGCTGTCCGGAAGTATCTTACTGTTGCTAAGAACACGGTGAATAACATAATATGATCAAAAAATTGCCATTCAGGAACAAACTTAAAGAAATATAAATAGCTTATGGATTATTTTACAAAATTTCGGGTACATATGAGTATGGAAAATGGTTGATATTTCACAAAAACTGGAAAAATAACTAAATTAGTTAAATTTCAAAGGAGAACAGTGCAAAAGGAGGAAGTCTTAAACTGTAATATATCTAATCAGAAACACGGTTGGAAAATGAACTATCTTGCAAACGAACTCCTTTCCCCAGTTTCTTTAGAGTGACACTATAAAAATAACGAGGTGTTCTTTCAACGCTTATCTGAAATCATGTTTTGAAGACTTACCTCGCCTGTGTCTCTGTAATGAACGAGAACAATATGGTCAAATTCCCTGCCATGAAACAAACATCACAAGTGATTATGGACAACAACTGCTACAATAACGTATAGTAGATCAAATTATGTAGGTTGAAGGTTGAATTCATTTCAAAACTATATAAGCTTGGCAAATTCATTTAATATTCAGTTACCTTCGACATGTGCTTTTACCAAAAATTGTGTGCTCTTCATTTTAAAGGATATACAAAATGCAATAATAAACTTGATAGTATGAAAAATAAGCAGCCATGTAACAGCAAAAAATTACTCACGGGTCTAACATCCAATAGCTCCGCCTCTGAAAATTAGGGTTCTGCTCTCCATGTGCATAGTAACAATTTATGGCTTCAACATTTCCAACCTAGTCAAGCAGATTTTTATGATTGTTCAAAGTGAAATGAAAAATAAAAGATCAATGTGGTAAAAGCATATACTAAATTTTCCTTTTCCATGAACAACTAAAAAACATAAAAGCAAAAACACTTATAATGCACCTTCAGCCGTTCGTGGGCTTCTCCTACCGCTCTTCCATCTCTTTTCTTCCGCCAAGCATGACCATCTTTACGGAAAAAACGCAGTACTCTTCTGTTAAACAGAAATAGGGAACCACCTGTTTTGGAGACCAATTGATAATGTTAAAAATGCAGAAGCAATTATAGTCATTCTTAAGAAATAAACATGATCTTACGATACAAAAGTGAACATGAAATGGAATAACTGAAAACTCTATTAATTGACTAACTACAAATAGTTACTCCTAACTAACAACTAACAGTTCACAGCCTTTAACACAGAAAGAGTAAAAGGTTTCGATTTTGTTATTTCTATCATCAACTCGATGAAGAGAAGAGAGATGTTACTGGTTGGCCGTTGCGGTGGCTCTTGAGTGAACTGGTACTTGTCATTATTCTGTAAAATGTACATAACTTCTGCTGGCTTCAGCCATCTCCTTTGAGCTTCTTGATACAAATCATTGATATCATATTCGTAACCTGAGACAAACAATGATAAATAAGTCAAACGTGTCCTATCATTTACAAAACAAAACCGTGATGGTCCCCAATTCAAAGTATCTATGTGATGTGGTTCAATTCAACTACAGAATCTAAAAAACAAAGCAAGTCAAAATTAATTCAACGCCCTTTCACTCTCACCAAATTAACCTGTAAAATTTAAAGACAACAGTATTGATTAAACATGAAAAAGTAAAGACGTTTACCAGATGCCATGGTATAATTGAATCTGGATAATCAAATCAAAAGGCAGAGAGCATTTTTTTGGTTCTGAAACAGTAGAAATTTCTGCGTTACAGTGAAAAGCGTGATTTGGTTCAAGACGAAGCTAGAAAATCGAAAGAAAAGCGAAAAGGTTATAGAATTGAAAAATTGAAGATAGGTACTAATAGAACTAGTATTAAACAAAGAACAACCAATTATGACTAAAGACCAAAGAGTTGTAATTTTATTTAATTATTTAGTATTATAGAATGATATTATTTGCTTTATAGTAGTACTTTATGCCGTTGTTCTTGTCTTGCTTTTCTGTGCCGGTTTGGTTTTTTCCATTTTACTCATGTAAGATATTTTCATTTTTGATAAAAGTCATAATAAACAAAAAGACAGATACTTGAAATGAATTTTTTTTATAAAAAAAATACATAGTATTGTTTTAAAAATCATTTAAAAAATAATAATAAATGAGTTTTAAATTTAAAACTCCTTTTGTTGATGAATATAAATGAATATTAAATACAATGAACCTTGTAAATTTATATACAAAAATACAACCATATTTGCAAATAGAAAATAGATTAAGAATAAATTGTATTGTTTGACTTTGTAATTAATTGATAAAGAATTTAATTGAAATACACCGGCCAATATCAGTTAATTATAGTCATCGAATGTTTAAAAGTCTTTGATTTTTATTTTAATCACTTATAAAATAAGACAAACGGATGATGATGGTGAATCGACAGTGTAAAACTTTTTACATAATAATTAATTTCTTTGATAAAATAACATGAAATAAAAATAAATTACACAAAAACGTGTTTTTCCTGTATATATTACTATGTAGGTGGAGAACTAATGTGGTCATAATTCATATAAATGTTAAAGAAACTGCAAAAATAAAAACCTGAAGCAGCATATAGGATCATCATATAATAACAACAAAAATAATAGTCGATATTAAACACAAAAGACAATAAATGAGATAGGGTTGAAGCCTGGAAATGGGATGGAATGCAATGCAAGTTGTACAATCTTATTTGGGGTAGTTAGCACTCACTCCATCCACATGGGCAATGCCAAGCCAACCACATTTTCCATGATGATTTATAAAATACTAGTATACTACTGTCTTTATGAGTGTAAGGGACAAGGAGAACATTAGCATATTCTTCGGTCAATAATTATAAAATCTTTTTAGAAAATTTATTTCTTTTTTAAATATCATTTTCTAAAGATTTTAAATTTATTTGTTTGTTATTTTTCAATATATTATTTATTAAAAATATTAAGGATACGTTTGTTATAGTTTTTTTTTTAAGAAAATATACTTTTTTTAAAACAATAAAATTGTTTTTATTGTTTTAGTAATGAATTTTAAGATTTTAAAAAAATCATTTAATTAAAAAATATTGTTTCCTTTAATATGAAAAACTAATTCTAATAGTATTTACAAAATCTTTTTAAGAAAAAACAAAAATTATAAATTTGTGAGTTTTAAAAAAATTTTAAAATCATTTTTATAATATTAAATAAACTTGAGTTAGTTTTAGATTAAAAAAAAACTCTAAATTTTTTAAAATATGTTTTGAGTCAGCCAAAGGTAAAAAGAAAGTCAAAGTTCAAATCAATTTCAATTCACTCTAAATGATTCGGGGTATAAAAGCAATAACACGAGAAATTCTAAGTACATTTTTTTTTACTACACTCATCTTGAACTTTAAACTGACTTGGGTGTTAGAGTGCTAACCTTGCAAGTTCATCCATGTGTCATTGTATAGAAGATCAACATAACTGACTTAAGATTCCTCACTATCAATGTACACCTAATTTTGGTTTCAAAACGGAACAGTGGCATTGTCTGTGGGAATTGACTCCCTATTCCGTAAAAAAAAATCCATGAATGGATTGTCCTAGGTCCAAAATCATATCCCTACTAGAATTGTTGAAAAATGGAGACAGTCACCTCTAATATCACACTAAAGATCCTCAATCAACCCTCATTTCCGTATCGCCTTAATTATCCGTCATCGAGGAGATTCGTACCATAAAAACTTCCAACATAGATTTGTTACCGAAGCACTTCTTCCATACAACGAGTAATCTCGGAGCGATAAGTAAAGACCGCATGGTACTAGAATTCTTGTATCACGATGAGGTAAACAGAGTTCCGAACGTAGAGTTACCGTCGATTATAGTAATTGATGTCCCGAATCATACTACACATTGCTACGACGCAAATTGTTACGTATTTTGATTCTATTCCACCGTATTTGATCGTTGCTACAGAGATCCATAATATCGTAAAATCTAGTGGCGGTCTGTCATCAAAATATGTCTTCCAAAGTACACAATAATAGAGAGTTAAAAACCAAGATCTAGGTGCACTAGGATACTCGAGAGACAAGAAGATACAAAGAATCTCGAGTGCAGAGCTAACAATGGTTTTTGCAACTTTCACCGTTGGTGAAACACCTACAAGGGATACCTCGTAGATGATGGATTCCATGTGATAACTCCCAATTTGGCGCAGTAGAACAATCAAATCTCCGACAATCAAATCTTTGATGTTGCATCTATGATGTCGAAATTTCATGCTAACAACGTGTTGTGAAGGCAATCACATTGTTGGTTTATTCACTTTCAATTTCTTCATTTGACTCATCATTTAAAAAAACGGTATATCCGTTATTTTGTTTCCTAAGAAAGTTGGTACATTTTTTTTAATGTTCCCAAAACCTTCACATTTATGACATTGGATTCCCTTACCCTTGTTTTATTTATCTCCGTCTTTTCATTTTCGCTGAGGATTAACCCTTTTGGAATTCCGAGGTTGTCATTATTCCTTATGACCTTCACATTATTCCTTGATCTCCTGTCAAGTATCCATATGACATTGCCAAACATTTTGGCTAGAAGGGTAATAGATTCAGTTAGGTTATCATCAATATCACCTTCTAATTGTCACCATCTTCTTCAACGTCAGCTTTTATTGCCACACTATTGTTCTTTTTCTCTGATTTTTCATTAATATCCATTTCTAAAGTTATAAGAGATTCAATTAGCTCATCAACTTTTATTATACTCACATCTTATTCTTCTTCAATGGTTGTGACTTTCATATAAAACCATTTTGGAAGAGATCTAAGAGTTTTTCTTCTGATATTTTTTCACCAAGGGCAAAAGAGTTATTCGCAATGTCACAGAGAAGAACATCGAATTCAAAAATGTTTTCATACTCTTTCATCTTCATATTTTTAAATTTTATTGTGAAGAGTTGAAGTCTTGACATACGAACCTTAGAAGTGCCTTCTTGGGCAGTTTGGAGAGTTTCCCAAGCTTTTTTGGAACTGGTGCAGGTGTTAATGATTCTAAAGATATTATTGTCAACTCCATTGTAAATGACATTAAGGGCATGAGAGTTAGTAAGTTATTTTTCATCTTCCTCCTTTGACTAGTCCTTTTCAGGCTTTAAAGTGTTGTCTTCAATTGTAATCATTGGAGAAGTTCATCCATTTATGAATGCTTTCTAAGTCTTGATGTCCATATAGTTGAGAAAGGCAACCAAGCCTTCTAATTATCGTAGTTCGTACCATCAAGAATAGGTGTTTGATTCACATATCCTCCTTCTTTAGCATTTTCCATTTTGAACAGAGTATAGAAAAAACCTTGGAGCTCACCCAACCAAAATAGGGTTTCTGCTCTGGTGCCAATTGAAATTATGTTCTACTTTTGTCAAGATGTCAGACATAATGTCGGAACAATGTGTGTGACAATAAGTATGCTTAATATGAAGGATAAATACAAAAACTAAATCACACATAAATTGTTAATCCGGTTCGGTAAAAAGTCACCTAGGTGCCCTCTCTCTCTCTCTCTCTCTCTCTCTCTCTCTCTCTCTCTCTCTCTCTCTCTCTCTCTCTCTCTCTCTCTCTCTCTCTCTCTCTCTCTCTCTCTCTCTCTCTCTCTCTCTCTCTCTCTCTCTCCATTCAAAGCATATAACACTGAGATTTAAAGAACTCTATTCGTGTAGACTGAGTAGAGGTGATTTTCTTTGTTCAACGTTAATAATCATTATTAGGATTCTCCCTCAACGGTTAATTGTTGCAACAAGTAACCATCCATTATTATCACATTCATTCTTAAGGATCCACTTAAGGAAAATTTTGTTTTTGGATGCGTATTTTAATTCTTATTTCTCTTCAGGCGTGTGGTATGTTTTAGGGGATTTCAAGAATGTCAGATATATTTAAAAAAAGGCTAAATGTATCCCGCAGTCCTTTAATTTAATTCAAGATTTCACTTTGATCCTTTATTTAATAAACGTTACGTTTTAGTCCTTCAAATATAATTCTGTTAGCCATCTTAGTCCATTCCGTTAACTTTTAACTTAAATTTTTTTAGGTGAAACAACATTGTTGAGTGTCCACCATAGTCTTTATTATTTTATTATTTTCTTTTTAACAAATATCTCATGGTTGGAAATTGATAGTCTATTGATGGTAATAATGAACTCTCAACGCATGATATTTTTTATATAACTTCATCTTCTTCCCTCTTCTACTTCACCATCTTCATCATCTTTATGATTATTCTTCATCTAAAAACCCATAAAAATAAATAAATATATATTAATTGAATTTTAAATCTTGTTTTAAGCCTCAATATTAAGAGACAAATTAACATAAAAAATAATCTCCTTCACATTTGACATATTTTGACGTTCTGTTGAAAAACACCATGTGCAATTTTGAATAGAAAAAACCAGATCTATAACTTATAAAATGACGGTAAAGAATCTATGTTTATGAAGACGATAGAGAAAGATAGATAAAGAGATGTTTTGACGAACACAAATCTAAAGTTAAAGTGAATGAATTGTAATTATTTTGATGAACACAAATTTAGAGGTGAGAAGATGATTTATAAATGAGCCATGCTATTTTTACACCGATTAGCTACAACATATTTAACTTACACCGTATACCCATAACTAT